CTAAGATTGTATATGATTATGTGTGGTTCATTGATATAGACAGTATTTGTCTCTGGATAGTTAGTATGTTGGGTTGGTTCATCATAGGGGTCTAAAGATGTTGAAAATGATTTGCCAGTAATAGAGTTGTCTTCTACAAGGTCATTCACCATTTCAAGCTCGGTTCTCACAGCTGCGCAGGATTCTATAGTCTGCTCTGTACGTTGGGTCTGACCGTCATATAAATGGTCCTCTGTGTAACTTTACAATTCTTACAATCTTTAAAACTAATAAAAAGTCAGCTAAATTAGAAAATATTTTTGCTTAAAACTCTACCCAAAGACAATTTAATTTCTATATCGATGGTTCAGTAATTAATATTAATACTAAACAGTATTTAATGGGTATAGAATAGGTCCAAGTAAATAACAATGATCAAATCATTTACAAATTCTTAGCTCAAATTTATCTTTGGCCATCTTCTTATAAAGCTGAGCTTTTTTCTATATTGTCTGCTATTTCTACAACACCTTATAATTCTATAATTAATATATATACAGACTTTTAATTAATTATATCCAAATACACCAAACTTAATTCCCCTTTTATTAAACTTAACAAACTTCTTAAATTTAATATATAGCCTCTATAGTATACACTTTTTAATATTATTTTTCATATAAATTAGAAATCATATTTATTAAAGTTCTAGCCCATTCAGATAACTCCTTTAATAACTTAGCTAATTCATTAGCTAAATAATATATATTAGATATACCACTTCTTTTTAAATATAACAATATCTATAATCCTTATTATACACTTCAGTGGGGAGATAAGCAATATTTTGTTGAGCTCTCTACCTATTTATTTGTTAAAAAGATATATAAAATCCAAATTCTGACAATGTTATCATCACAAAACTAGAATAATGAGTGGTCTTCACTTAACAATTGAATTGATTAGAAAGCTACCTAGTTATACTTTAACTATAACCAAAAACCTATTTCTAATATTAAAACTTCAAGCTTAATCAACTCAAATTCTTCAAAATCAAAATTTTACTTAATGAATTGCCAATCTACCACCTTCACCATTTACAATACCTTAAGATTTTTTTAAATATTAACTGTGTCTATTGCAATTTATCAGATTCACTTTTACATTGGTACAGTTATCAAAACCCTGAATTAATCTATCAATTATTACTAATACTATCACACAGTATCTCAGATCAGTAGAACTAGATCTTTCAAATAATTAGCTAGAAGAACTTATTTACAAAATTCACAATTATGAAGTATTTCATCTATTTGTTTTTTAACTATATTCATACTACTTAGATATTACACTCAAAGGTTTAATTTTTATATCTTTAATTAAAACTATTCAAAACTATGATATCTCTTACAAGACTGCTTCCCAAACAGTAATCAATATATTACTTAAAATAAATGAACAACTATATAAACAATTATGAAAACTCTATTGTTCTAACTTCTTTAACTAATGAAAGCTCTATAAACTTAACTATCCATACTCTAACAATTCAAGCTCTTCTATACAACTTGAATCTTCTAGTCTTAAATAACAATCTGATTCTTCAAGTTTAACACAATCTATTATCTTAACTTAACATATTTATACAATATATACTTATTCTTGTCTATGTGAAGAACCAGATTAATTACATATTTATTCTAATATTTATCTATCTATTGACCAGGCTAGGAGGAAATTTGACACTTGGTCTGTTTATTAGATCAAATATGATACTCCAATTAATTATATTTTCTCTATTATAATCTAGATAAGCCCAGGACCACTCTAGTAGATTTAGATCACAGATAAATTAGTCTAAATTTTTATTCTTGCTATATAGTTTTATTTTATTTGTATTTTTATGATATAATAACATTCATATTAGTTGATTATTCAATTAGTGATTACTATTATCCAATAAAATTATTGATAAAGATATGAGCAAGGCATCATCTTAATATCAAAAAAAAATAATTAAAGTGTTTTTTACTATTTCACCTTAACTTGGTTATTCTATTGATTGCTTAGGGTTCTCACAGATGGGTATAGTAGATATCTTTTTAATCCTTCTATATTTCACATATTTTTAAATTAATTTTAAAGATATCTATTTGCTATAATCAAGATCAATACTAGTAGTTAAAATTAATCATTAAACTATACAATTTCTGTATTTCTTGCTCTTGCAAGGTTTATTCTAATTCAGTTAGTTCAATTAGATCAGTATATTTAGGTTTTAAATACTTTTAGTTCTCTTCTTTTAGTTTTTAATTTTATAGCATAAATCTTTTCTTCTAGTGACCAAATTGAAGAACCCTTTTTACTTCAAGATTATTTTGTCTGGTTCTTTCTAAGGCAACCCAGTAGTATAAGAACCCTACTGGGTTATCTATAGAATTAGGACACAAGTAGTATAGAAGATGTGATCTTCAATAAGAAGCAGCACAAGGTTATGTGCTGACATGATTGTGGTAGGTGGTACAGAACAGAAGACATCAGAAAGTTTAATTGGATAACTCAAATAATAGTATGGTGTGTAGAACCTAGTAATAGGTAGCTACTTAATTAGACACTCAAAAGGTGCAGGTATGGCTAAAATGTACTCTCCTTAACCAAGAATGTACTATTTAAAATACCTAATAAAAATCTGACTTTACACAACATTGAAGGTTTAAAAAATATATATATATATATATTACAGGTTCAGAATCTTATATAATATAGATGCAGACATTTGAAGATGTATGATAACATCCAATTGACATATTGTCACATCAAGTGTTATAACAACAAAGACATTTGCTATAACTTAGTTACGGCAATATAAAAAAGTTATGGCAATACAAAAATGTTGCAACACTATAAAGTTTCAATGCTATAGAAAATAGAAAATTACGCAATAAAAATGGCTATATTAAACAGTTATGATTTAATTATTGATCAATTCAAGAATTTATTCCAATAACTTATATACAATAACAACGATAATAACAATGATAATAACTACATAATATACTTATTACACTTTACAGGTAGAGTCAAATATTTTATATTTGAATAAAATGGTAAAATAATATTGACTAAGCTTATATACTTTTATAGCGTCGAGAATATTAGTATATATTTTTGTACTTCATGCCAAATGTTAAGACGTAATGGTAAATAAAGGATGAGTAGAAATATTACGGCAAAGGGCTCAGCAAAGGACTCATCAAAGGCAGATGTTACGGCATAAGTCGGTCGGACGTAAGTTAAAAGTTACTATGTAAACCAAATATTGCGCAAAAGTCACAAGTCAAATGTTACGGCGTGCAGTTATGGCCTCTTGACGCATCATAATGTCATTGAGTTACGTCCAATTGACATTATATAACTTCAACATATGTCTGCACCTATATTATATAATAATATGAAATAAAAAAATTAACAATTAAACCAAATTAAATATTTTAAATATATTAAAATTTTATTATATAACTAAACTAATATTGAGCCTTTAATTAAAAGTTTTTAGTGTGTAATTTTGCATACATATATACAGTATATATTTGCTAACTAATAATCATTTTTTTTAAATATTAACCTGTCATATAATATAGTAACTAGAGTTAATACTTCACTATGTTTTATATCCGGATTGAAGTATTAACTCTAATAGTAACCTGCTAAATTTAACAAATTTCTAAATATGTATGTTTCTATTTAAATCAAGTTTTAAATTTTTTAATTAATTCACTTAAAGAGAATTTATTAGAATATATCCTATGAATATAAACCTAAATTCTAATTTAATTCTTAAAAAAAAAATGTTTCAAAAAAACATTTAAATATTCATATTAAAATAGTATCAGTCGTCACATAGTATATTAATCACATCAGAAGCCACCTTGCATCTCACGAATAACGGCTTTAGCTCGATCATCACTCATAATCCCAAAAGAATGTATCCTCATATCAAAAGATGCCGTTCCACCTGTCAACGACCTTAACGAAGAAGAATATCCTAACATGGTAGATAACGGAACGTGCGCACGTATGACTCTTTTTGGGCTAACCATTGTATCATTATTAGAAGAAACGAGAGTAGAATCCGATGGAACATATATTTCAATATTGTGATCAAAGTTATCGAATGCACTTTCAGACGTTTCAAGTGCAAAAACATTTCCGCGACGTGTTCCGGTCAAATCTCCAAGAACAATACCCAAATATTCTTCAGGTACATCAATATTTACATACATTAAAGGCTCAAGTAACACAAGGTTTCTACCCTTTAATGCGTCGGTTAAAGCCTTCGAAGCACATGTGCTAATTGCAATTTTAGTCGATTCTGCACCAAATAAACGTAACGAATGTACATTTATCGAAAGCCCTGTTATGGGAAAACCATGCATCGGACCTCGATATAAACCAGATATTATTCCAGTATATACTGCATTTGAAATTTCCTCAATAGATAATTTTACTAATTCATTTGTTTCTTGACTATTTATGGACTGATCTAATTCATCCAATAGAATTGTTTTTTTTGTAAGATTTAAAGTGATTCTATTTCCACCCTCTTTAGATGATCCTTGATCATTCTCGTGGAGTGGAGTAATAGTCAAAGAAATTTGAGCCCTTACTCTCTTTCCCATAATTTCGCGTTCATGTAGGTAAGTATGATCTATTTTTTCAGTAACAACAGTTTCTCTATATGATATTCGCATTTTTCCCAAATTTGCTTTGACTTTAAAGTCATTTAACAAACGATCTTTGACAATCTCTAAATGAAGTTCACCCATACCACTTATCAAAGTTTGCCCAGAATCTGGATCAATATACACATGAAGAGAGGGATCTTCTCTTAATATATTTTTAAGAGCTTCTTCTAGAGGTTTTTCTTCAGAAATACCAGTCGCCTCTACTACACGAAAAAATACTGGTGCGGGAATATCAATGTTTTGCAGTCGAAGACTTTTCCGAGAGTCATTAAATTGAATTAATGTATCTCCTGTTCTTGTTTCCTTAAGACCAATTATTACACCAATATTACCCGCTTTGATTAATGGAATTTCTTCTACATCGTTTGCATACATTTGTAATAACTTGTTTACACGTTCTTTATGGCAAGTATTTGTATTATACAATGTCATATGGTTGTCTAATTTACCTGCATAAATATACAGTAAATCGTAGTAAATCAATGGATTGAATAAATCTAATTACAAAGTCATTTTCTCACCTGAATATACTCTCACAAAAACCATTGGACCACGTTTGTTGTCGTGTACAAC